CTCTTTTTTGGCGGAACCAGGGATTGCACTCAGCCCCTTGCGCTTGCAAAGGAAGCACTTATTCCACTGAGCCATCTCCCCGGCCCCTGGTCCAAACATTGGAATGACACAGCACGCAGCTTGCGTGGAGCTCATACCCTAGTAGGGTGGGGAGATAATAAATGAAAAAAAAAATCAAGCAATGCCAAATGCTCCAAGATATAATGATTAGAAAATTAGGAAAGAAGGGCAGGGGAAGAATGTTTTTATTAGTGGATGGGGAAGGCTTTCCTAAGTGGTAGACATGAATGTATTTTATAACAAAATAGAGAGCACGCTATGTCTTTTTTAAAAAGTTTGTGTTTCTTCAAAGGTCTTTTTGCAAGACATTGAAATTATATTGGAAAACCACTCTTGTAATGCATATATATGTGTGCGCATATTAATTCATTGAGTTGAACACAATTCGTGTATTTTAAGTGTACATTTGTAAACATCAGTTCAAAAAGCCAACATTGCCACAATTATGCCGAGTTAATGCCTTTCCGCCTTTTTTGTTGCCTCATTTAAAATCACGAAACAGACAGACAATACATAAAGGACCGAGAGGCGGTGGAGAAGCTTCAGGAACCGCTGCTGGACGTGCTCCAGAAGTTGTGCAAGATCCACCAGCCGGAGAACCCTCAGCATTTCGCCTGTCTGCTGGGGCGCCTCACGGAGCTGCGGACCTTCAACCACCACCACGCCGAGATGCTGATGTCGTGGCGAGTGAGCGACCACAAGTTCACCCCGCTCCTGTGTGAGATCTGGGACGTACAGTGAGGGGCCGCGGAGGAGGCCGAGCTCCGTGGGCCCCTCGTAATATGAACTTGATGCGAGACTTTGCTTTTTCATTTGTACCTGGTGTCGCTCAAGAATGCTGATGAAATTGATGTAGCAATTATAAAACTTCTACAATTGTAAATACGGGAGTAGACAGAATTACTTTCTCTACATTTTGTTTTCCAAGGCTCCAGGGAATCCTACATGCGAAGTGGCAGGCCCTGTCTGTCTGACGAAGTTGATTGTTGCTTCAATTCTAGCAGTCAGACCTGGGGAAAATCTCATTATGCTCTTCATTTTGCCGCACTGCGTATATTTTATTAAAAGAGTTGTGTTCAGTTTTGGTGATACACTGAGCCTAATGGCAGCAGGCTTTTCTTTGGGGATCAGATTTGACAAATATTTCTTTAAGTGATGAAAGACATCCTATTAGGCCTGGGGGGGCGGTGAGGATGATTACACAAAGATAAACAGGAGAAAAACGGCACTTTTCTCGTCCCTAGAGAGGTCACGGTACATATAACATTCATTCATTCGTAATAGCCCTGTGATCATTCCATTTGCTTTGAAATTCAAAGAGAATAGCATGTACGGAAGTTAATAACTTTCACACAAGCCATTCCCCCGAGCAAGCCCTGGCTCCTTAGTTGGGGCCTCAGGGCAGCACCTATAAGTGGAGCGCGAGCAGAGAACTGCAGGGACACGAACGCCCTCGTCTCTCAACAGTGCTCACTAGGGCTTTGTGCACATAATTAATCATTTTAAAATTTATTTGGCTTTGCTATTTGCAAATACTCCTGCAGCTGGGTGCACAGCTGCTGGGTACTTCCCCCGGAGCGGAGCGGAGCGGGCCTGAGCTCATTTCCTTCCTCCATTGTTCTGCAGCTACGTTCTCCTCCTCCCCGTCCTCCTTGGGTGAAAACAATAAAACACCTTCTGTAAATAATGGGCCTAAAGCTCCCTTTCTCCTGGACTCAGCTAAAAAGGAACTTGCTTTGCAAGCAGAGGCGTGTGCGTGTGCGTGTGTGTGTGTGTGTGTATGCGTGTGTGTGTGTGTGTGTGTGTGAAAACTCTAGAACAACACTGGAGTTCTAAAAATAATTAGCCATGGGAAAAACGAGTGATGTGGAAAACAATGGCTCCAGCTGCCCCCTCCAACCCAGTAGGGTTCTTTTGCTAATTCCATGGAGGATGCAAGTTGATAAGGATGTGGAAACAGCCTGGAAGGGGACTGAAGTGGGGAGGAAGCAAACGCCATGGGCTTCCTCCGCATCCAGGTCCATCTGACAGAGGAAGTGGCGTTTCCCTGGGCTTGCGCAGGCCTGGGGTTCAAGCTGAAGGAAGGGGCAGAGCAGAGAGAGAAAGGTAGGAGTGGGCTTCCTCTGGAGACAGAAAGTGGTCCGGATAGAGGCAGGGCGGGTGCTCCTTCTCTAGGCTTCCGTTTCACCAACATAAAGATGAAGATAGCAGCGTCCACTGCCTCAAGGGATTTCATTGATTAATGAAAAGTAGGTGGGAATGTGCAGGCTCACCAGGCAGGAGGGGTGTTGAAGAAAGCAGATTTGAGACTGGAGAAACATCTGAATGTTTGAAGGGGAAGATGCGGTTCGGAGGAAGCCAGGGTGGCCTGGTGTCTCCGGACCACGGTTCTCTACACGGAAGTGGTGGGAACTGATGGGGCCGTGTGGAGCGAGCTGGAAGTTCAGTCCCGCAGATCTGGATTCACTCAGGTGGCTAAGGCCTTGTGGAAGCAGACAATGATGCTTCCCATCTGGAAAACTCCTTGCGACAAAAATGAAAAATACACATATGACTTTGTTCCCAGCCCCTGATCCAGAGCTTAGGAACCTTTGGAAATTCTGAGCGATAGCAGCATATTCTGGTATTCCTAATAAGCCCCCTTTAGCTGGAAGTAAATTTATGCCACTAAGATGACCCAGGATGGACTGTGTGCTAGAGGAACAACCGTGTGAGGAAAGGGGTGGAAGTTTTGACCCCAACCCCCAACCTCCAGGGAGGGAGAAAGGCTAGAGATGGAGTTGAGTCACCAAACACCACACACTGAATAAATCATGCCTAGGTAGCGGGGTAGCCACTAAAATCCCCCTAACGATGGCATTTGGAAAACTGAGTGGTGAACATTAGGGAAGTGGGTGGCCACCAGAGGGTGTGTGGCAGCTCTGTGTCCCCCTCACCCTCTATGTGTAGCCCTGAGCACTGGAACCTTTCAAATAAACTGGAATAGTGTTTTCCCAAGTTCTGGGAGCTATCCTAGAAGTAATCTAGAAGATTAAGGAATTTGAAGAAAGAGTTGCAGGTGCCCCCAATTTATGCCCGATTGGCCAGGCCAGATGTGTAAGCGTTAATCTGGAAGTTGTGAGTAGTAACTGAAATGAGGGCTACGTCGTGGGACTGCCCGCTCAACCTGTGCAGCCTCAGTGACCTTTGGGGACTTAGTGTAGAACTGACCCCCAGTTGGCACCGGAGCAGATTATTGCTTAGTGTAGAGAAGAACCCCACACACTTGGCTCTAAGGTAAGAAAATGCCTATCACTGAGAAGAGTACCACTGCAGGGCATTGGCCACTAATTAGCTACAAGACCCCTCTCCAACAGCAAAGACCCCATATATGTTTTTTTCAAATTTCTATAACTCTCAGTCTGCTATACAGTGTGAACAACAAGCTATTTCTATCTAATAGGGTTGGTGCGAAGATCAAGTATGATAATTTCAAAACCAATTTATGAGGCAGCACATGCCAACACTAAGCACTCAGTAAAAGGTAGCTTTTTTTTTTTTCTTTTTTAAATAAAACTTATTGCCATACACCGGCATTGCTGGTTTTATTCTTAAAAAGCTCTTGATTTTTGAGACAATGAGGTAACAGCAGTGACTGAAACCTGATTTATGGGATTTATTTTTTAAAAATCTTTTATTTTTTGTATTTTAGGGAAGGGTCTACAGGGTGTTCAGGGTCTCACTACTAGATTGGACTCATAGTGATGTGCCTGTTTACAGCCTCCCAAGAGCTGGGATTACAGGTGCATGCCACCTCGCCCAGTCTCAATTGCCGTCTCAGCGTGCCCTGGGGGTGGGGTCAGCATTGTAGGCCTGGGGATCGAACCCCCAGCCCCTGTACCTGCTTGCAGGTGCTTTAATCCACTGAGCTATTTGGCCGGCCCTGGAATTTATGATATAGTAAAGGAAGCAAGAAGAGTTTCAGACAAAACTGTAGTTTTGTCTTTGTTTCAGATGCTATTAATTCAGAGATTTTAGCTGTGTGATTCTAAATTTCTTCAGTGCTAGTGTCTCTTGCATTTGCTCTGAGTCGGCTTAGGGCCTGAGATTGCATTTTGCTCCTTCTCTTTGTCATTTTGTATAGCACTGTCCTCTGACCTTTGGTGTAGAGCTTTGGTGCAATTATAACCTTAGCACCAACCAAAATTCTTACCCAAGATAGATTATATGGTTAAGGCAGTTATAGTTTTGCATTTACAGAACTACAATTAGGAACACTAATAATGGGTAGTGATATTTAGCAGTTGACAAACTTTTGTAACTAATGGGTTTTATTTTAGACAGTAAGAGCAAGTATTATGTCTGTGGAGCCAAGCAGATATTAAATTGGGAATTTGTGTTTAAGTTGGGTCCCCTAAGTTCTGTCTGATCACCTTCCCTTGATGTACCTGGGGTCTCCAGGCAGACTAGTTCATCCGGGTCACCTTTTGCCCCCTCTTTCAGTCAAGAGAGAAAGAGGGAGAATGCTCTCATAGATCTGGGCCTAGCAAAGTGTCTCAGCTTACTGGGTCTGGATCTCTGAAGTTTGAACTCATCCAGATGTGCCTGGCTTGGGTCTGGCTGCTGGGCTCAGCTTCTTCCTGCTGCAGCCCTTGGAAATGAACCTGCTGTGCCTCTCTGGCAAGATGTTCTGCTCTTGGATTAGCTGGATGGTTCTGGCCCCTTGCCTCTCTGCAGGGACTGCAGCTGGAGAGTTTCACCCCAGGCCTGTATGCCAGGCCCGGGCTGGGTCTGGAGGGGTCTGGTGGGTTCAGCGGAGTGGACGTTCTCCCACTCACACAAACACTGTGGATGATCGCTTTTATTAATACATCCAAATACTAGATATGAGCAACTTTTTTTTAGTAAGTGTTCTTGGAGTTTTGTCTTTTTCCTTTGTTATTGAAGATTAGAAACCAATTTTGTTCTTTGATTCTAAAGCAGAATTTTGCTTTCCCACAGATTTTTTTTTTTTACAAAATTATGATTTATTTTTTCCCACCAAGAAAATAATAAAGTAAATTGTCCTGTATCATATTTGGGTGTTAGCTGACTGTATTAGGTATCTGCCCTTAGTTTTGGTAAGAGCACTCAGAGTTCCTTAGGGGACTAGCCCCAGCTCTTTTTTTGTGTTCTGAAGATATATTGGATATGTATCATTGACTCCACTTCAGCTCTACAGCTGGAAACCTGACTCAGACGTAGCTTATCAGGGAACTACATGTCTTGGTGATTGGTTTAGGATCGAGCATGTGATCCATCTAAAGAAAACAAGGTATTTCCCTTGATATTTTTAGGAGATAGTAGTGTGTGTGTGTGTGTGTGTGTGTACGCACACATGTGTGTATCACAGTGTTGTCCCAAATTCTTCACCTTCTCCTTGTAATAGAAATTTCAAGAATAAGAGTGTCTGCGGCTCACTTTGGGCGATGGAATGCAGACGGAAGGTGATGCGTGCTGCTGAGCCTTGGGCCTTGGGAAAAATCACGTATCTGCTTGCTGCATGGCACTTCTGCCATCTGCCTGAAGCACATGCCCTGGAGTACGAGGATGAGGGACAGAGGGGCACACATAAATGCAACCTGTAGGTCAAAGCACAAGCCCTCCCCACCCTACATGTGTAAGCTTGCAGGTTCCTAAATCAGATACCTCAGTGCTTATTCTAGCTGCTCTTTATGTTCAGATCTTCTCTGCACCCATGGGGAGGGAGAGCTGCTCCCCTTCAGGCTGGGGATGATGGGGTCCTCAGTGGGCTGGCCCTGCTGGTGTCAGTCGAAGGGAGGCTCTGGTTGAAGGCTGAGGAATGGGAGGAGAGAAAGGCCGGGTGTGCTTTCTTTTCGCGCTCTGCCTCAGATGGCCTCTCTGGTAGAGTTTGCAGCTCCTGTCTGGCTCCCAGCCCCAGTGGGTTGATCCTGCCTTGCTGCCGAGCACCCTGGCTTCTGAGCTCCCAGGAACTTCCAAGCTCTAGAAGTTTCCTACAGCTGCTCATTCCTGGGCTCCTCTTCTGCTCCCGTTTATCATCTCAGCTCTCTCATTTCCTTTAAAAGCAAGTTCATGTTTAATTCGCTCTCTGTGAAGC